ATCGAGTCAATATATAACACGTTATTAATCATAATTATAAAATTAATTAATTAATTTTTTACTATACATGTATTGATTATGTAATCAATTTAGGAATTGTTTGAATTATTGAAATAATAGATTTTTAATAAAATCATATTTTCAACGACCAGTACAACACCCGTATCATTGCTTTTTAAGCGTTACCCAAACATATTGATTAACCAACCAACCAATCACTAACCAAACGTAACCTACACTAAACTTACCCAAGCATACTGAAAATACTTTAAGGCTTTTTTAAACTAAAATATGTCATATGTGTCTCGATATTATTGGTTTTGTTTGGGTATGGAAATGTAACTATGATGGTTTCGCGTACACACTTTTCGCACCTAGGTTACTACAAGTCATAAAGTTTGTCTTTTTCCCACGTACAGTGCTGACACATGCGCTTTGGTAGTATCAATGTAAAGGTATGGGTTTGTTTTGGTTATTATAGCTCTGTGTATACTGTAACGTGGATCCAATGATGTTCAGTATTTCAAACAGAAAAAGGGTGCAACAGTGCTGACACATGCGCTTTGGTAGTATCAATGTAAAGGTATGGGTTTGTTTTGGTTATTATAGCTCTGTGTATACTGTACAATACATAATCCCATTTTGACATGAATATAGTAGTGAATGAACCACTGGTCTTGTTGTATGATGGGTGGACTGCAATTGACCCGTTAGCCAATTATTTGTAGAGATTATTGTGGAGTAAAAACATGCGAAATGGATCGGCAATCGGGGTTAAAACAGTCAAATTCGGCTATTAATGTTGATTCAATGTTGAATAATTTATACATTTAAAAATGAAATATATTGGATAATGTCATGAAATATGAAATTTTTCTATAAATGAATGCCTTTTATTTATGGGAACATTCTTAAATTTGGGGCAAATTTTGAGTTTTTCTTAAAAAGTGAGTTTTAGGGTTTGTCATATTCGGGCGATTCGGGAATATCCCAAAATATACCAAAATCGGGAAAATGAAAGTGCTTGTTTATTATAACTCCCAAGACTAACTGGATGTTATTTCCGAGCATTCTATTAACTAATTATATTTGGGAATTCCCGAAAAATCTCATTTCTAATTATTTGTAACTACAATTCAGTATGAAAATGGTAGTTTATAGGATTACTCCGCCCCTCCCATTTTATAATAACTAATAAACATGGTTCTTTGAAATTTATTCAATATTATTGTAAGTTTGTAAAGATACTGTAATTTATTCTGAAATATTAATTGAAATATTGCAACAATTAAATGGTATTTTATTGAAGACTTAATATTAAAAATGACCATAATGAAGACTACAAATTAAGTTCGTAATAATGTTCTAAATGTTACTGTTTATGGTATAAAGCTTTGGGTAGAATATGTATTCGGTTTATTTGACGCAATTGTCAAGTGTTGTATATATTGGGGACAAACCATTAGCACAATAGTGTTGACAGCAGTGGAACAGGTATTCCGTATAATATTGTACGCGTTGTGCAAAACCAAAACCAATCCAAAACTAAAACCAATTTGGTAACTGAATGAACTACATTGTACTTGATTCATCATTGATGAGTAAACTAAATGATATTTATTTAAGTTATTAACAAAATTATTTTTACCGTGGTTATTAACCACAATTCGGCGTGAATAATGTGGTTTGTATCATACGCCCCCCGCTCTATGTGATTTAACATGGGATTACAATTTAAGTGTATAACAACTTAAGTGTTAGCTATACTTTAACACGAGTCAGCTCTCATAGGTTAACATGAGGAAGCTTTAACATGAGTTTCTATGCGATTACAGCTTAAGTTTATGGGTAATGCTAAGTCTATGGGTAATGTTAAATTTATGGGACTAATGCTAATCCTATGGAGTCCATAGCATGGACAAAACAAACTCTATAGGTAATTTTAATCCTATGGATTAATGTTAGGTCTATGGGCAATGCTAAATCTATGGAAATGCTTATTCTATGTTCTTCATGGATACTAATGGTAATCCAAAGACTAGTATTAAATCTGTAAATAATACTTATCTATTCTTTGATCATTACCCGAATTTTTAATATATTTTTAAAAATTGGTTATTTAAAATATACTATTATACCATGTTTAAATAATTATTTAAGACGGTAATTTTACTAAATTAATGATTTTTACATTAGTTATTTTGGTAGAATCAAAACCAAAACCAAGATAAAACTCAAAATTATAATTTGTCGAATCACTAGTGAAGAACCCCCATATGGGGGTTAAAGTATAGCCATAGACTTAACATAGGATCCCATAGGGTGGGGGAGGAGGGGGTAACGTCGAAATCCTACAAACCACATTCTTCATAAATTATGAATCATAATGAATTGTGGTTAAAAGTTGCATTCTCTATAGCAATAAGCCAAGAACATTAATCCCATAGACTTAACATTAAATCATATATCATTTATACTTATGTAACATTAGACAGGAGAACATGTGGGTGTAATTGTATTTTAGAAAAGCATTGATCAATTCTATTTAATATTTGTAAAATTTAAAATAATTGAAGTAAATACTGCATGAAAGTGCATACATCAGCATAAGTGCATAAATACTGTAGTTAATTTAAATTATAATTTAAAAATTTCAATTCATTCAAAAACTCAATCATATCTTAATACTGTACTTGTGTGGCACTACTCGTGTAAAATTTGTATAAAATTCAGTGCCATTAAAATAGTTAATAATATGATCGGGAATTATATACCATATGGTTTAGGGTCACAATAGGCTTAAAATATATGAGTTTTATTTTCCCTATTTTTGCACATTTTGAGAAAATTGCCGAAAAATCTATTTACTACACATTTCCTAACTCCTTCTCGCCCTAACAAGTAAGTCATTGGCAATCACTCATTGCCTCTGTATTAACTGTACTGCACGTAATGTATAGCAGACAGTTAGGGCGAGGAGTTAGGAAATGTGTAGTTATATGAAAAATAATCTTTAAAAATAGACTAAAATAGACTTTTTTAGTAAAATTTATTTATGTAACATAATTTTAAATTGAGTCATTTGTAGTAAGTCATTACATGTCTTACTAACATTTAAATCATAATTTAAAGATTTGAAGTGAAAGTGTTTTGTATGATTTGTGTCCATCAAAGTCAGTGTCGAGCGTTGTTTGTTTCAACTTATAGAATATTTCTACAGACAGGACACAGAATAGGATACACACAGAAGTGGTTGATATACAAAAACAATTGCTGTCCCCCCTATCGGCCCACACTTTCAATAAGTTTTCAAGTTTTGGTAATTTTTACAATGGTTTTGGTTTGCAAATTGAGATAATAGTAACATTGGTCTACAGTATTAAGTGAGGACACAAATTAAATAATGGACTAAATATGGGATAATATGGTACACTGTATAATGTTCTACAAATAAATGTAAACTTACATTTAATGTTAATGTGCACTGTATGTACATGTTAATTTATTAAATTTAAGCTTAAATATTTAAACAACATTGAAACTTTAAATTCTCAAGTTCTTAAAACCACTGCAAATGTATATAGATTTTAAATACAAAAACGACGACAATTACATCCATATATAAATTCATACGTGAATTAATGTTTGACTAAAAGTATGATTTTTGACAATATTTTGATTTGACATCAAATAATTGTGGAAAATAAGGTATTTTTATTTTTTATCCACGATGAAGCCACAATTTTTAACCATAATTCACTGTCCTCTATCAAGAATGTGGTTTATAGACGTATAACTATATTTTTACACCGTATAATATTCAGGTATATTTGTACGCATTGTGTTTCACAATATTATCTCAACTAATCATTTGTATACTTCATTCTCTGTGCAGTATATGATAAAAATGCTTATTATTTGTATACAACTTATTGGTTATGCAATCAATACATAAAAGCCTTTTATTTTATATTTTGCCAACTCCCTCTCCCCCCCTCTCTCTCTCTCTCTCCCTCTCCCTCTCTCTCCCTCTCNCCCCTATCTATAGATACTTTTAAATTCTCAAGTTCTTAAAACCACTGCAAATGTATATAGATTTTAAATACAAAAACGACGACAATTACATCCATATATAAATTCATACGTGAATTCATGTTTGACTAAAAGTATGATTTTTGACAATATTTTGAGTTGACATCAAATAATTGTGGAATATAAGGATTTTATTTTTATCCATGATGATGTCACAATTTTTAACCATAATTCACTGTCATATATGAAGAATAAGGTTTATAGACGTATAACTATATTTATTACACCGTATAATATTCAGGTATATTTGTACCATTGTATTTCACAATATCATCTCAACCAATCATTTATATACTTCATTCTCTGTGCAGTATATGATAAATGCTTACGATTTTTATACAACTTACTGTTATATAATTGGTTATGCAATCAATACATAAAAGCCCTTTATTTGATATGTTGTCAACTCAATCTCAATCTCTCTTTGTAAGGGGGCTAAGGGTTAAGGATTAGAATGTGAATGATGTGAATGATGGGAGTGTAGTGTAGGTGTAGAATGAAGTGTAGATACATTGCTAGAATTGTTTGAAAGTCTAAGTTTCACTCATTTCTAACACTTTCACACCAAATGGTTTGCCGATTGAGTGATCGGCCGATCGATTGTATTCACCACTTCAATGCTTACCTCTCATTGGATGACATGTGAACCCAAATGAGTTAACAAACACTCATTGATCGCATCAATGCATGCAATCATCAACTCTTCAATTCATTAAACATAACATATGAGTGACTGGGACGTGAAAAGGCGTCCAATTTTAGTGTTACTGCTTATGCTATATAGCAAATACAGTATTGGACGCCTTTTCACGTCCCAGTCACTCATATGCTATGCTTTCTATACATTTGGTCTACTTTTGCATCAATTCATTCAACTTTTATGCATTTCATCACATTTTGACCAAAAAAGAGTCAATTGTTGCAAACATTGTGCTAATAATTGGCTAATAGTTAGTTATGGTGCATAGATGTAGTTAGCATGACCAAAATGAGCATGCTACTACTTGTGCCCAATCAGTACTGTCTAATGGTATGTCTAATTGATATATGTGTGGCAATAATGTGTGCTTTCGCTCGTAATATGCATTCAAATGTGGATTACTTGATGTGTTGTGCCATTGATTGCCATTTGAAGCACTCATTCAAACATATCATTACATTATTAAGGCTTTAATTAACATAACTATTAATGATTGCATTCAATGATAATAACTGTCATAAAACTCGTGGCAACCAATCGTACGAAAGGCAGCGAACATTGGATTTGTGGTCAACCAATCACACGCTCTGTACTGCGAAACAATTGATTGGTTGGCCAACAAAACGTGTTAACAATGGACACGAGATTTGGTGCGTTTAGACACTACAGACGGCTATAGAGCGACGATGGGTGTGGTGTATGGTATGGGACGTGTTGTGCGCTGTAGTGATAGTGCTGTGGTTGCGGTGGTTGTGGTGTATGTAGTGTTGGTGGTAGTGATGACTCCCTTTGTCACTGATTTGTCTATTCATTCAATACATAACACCTTATTATACAGACAGTGCACACAATGTGTCACCAATGGCTGCCATTAACCACTATTAACTAATATTAACTATAATTAACTATAACTAACTCGTTGTTAAAGCGGTGGTCGACACGACTATTGTGTGCCCGAAAGCGATGAGCCATTCGGTGATAGTCTAGTGATTGGTGTTTGTGAGCGAAGAGCGGATCCATCGATTTGTTTGTGCCGTTTGTTTACAAACCAATGCATTGACAGTGAAAGCGATGAACGATTGTTTGACTCAACCATTGACGACATCGCAAGTGTTGACCACAACTATGGACACAAACCTCCAGACATTACAACAGACATCACAACAACAGGTCGTCCCTCCCGGAGACCACAACTCTATCAACGATTCTTCGGCCAACTCTGCAGTGAATGTCTCGTTGAACGCAACCATTATCTCAGCCAACGTTTCTGAGCCGCAAAACTCAATAATGACTTCTGTCCCGAATCTAACCATTAGTTCGTCGACAATGCCGTCGGCGACGGTATGCACTCAGGGATCCATTCAACCGATTAGCACTCAAAGTCAGCAACAGATGGTCTCTTCATCGCAGCCCCAATTGATTCCCACCTCTCAGGCGACACATATGACACATAACAACGCTCTGATGGCCGCCCAGTCGTTGGGCGCGACCATCACTTCGGTGTCCAATCAGACGGTGCAGATCGCGGGCCAACAGCAACAACAGCACAACCAATTGCAGCCATTGCTGCAGACGTCGGTACAGCCGGCGACCGCCAATCAGATGAGTGTTGCCATGTCTTCGTTACCGCAGATGCAGGTGATTGGGCAGCAAATCGGTGGCAGTCCCGGCACCTATCAGTTCCAACAGGTGTACTCACCACAGATGGTATTGCCGGCTAATATGACCTTTCAAAACATGCCTTTCGGAGCACCCAATCAGGGCCTCCAACTACAGATACCGTTCACCGGAACCCACGCTCTAAACACGGCTACAATGCCTATCACGTCGATTGCAGCCAAACCTCCCATTATGTCCAAAGGGTTGACCATCTCATCACTGCCACAATCGCATCAAATGATATCACAACTTAAGCCTAATATCGGCCCTCACGGCCAACAGATACTGAAACAAGTACTGCCGGCCCAACAGTTCATCCCTCACTCCACCGCCAACCAGATAGTGATCAGTCAGCTATTGCCGCAACACAACCACCACCCCATCCAACAGTCTATACTTCCGGCCACTAATAAAGCCATTTTAGAGGCGCCTAAAGGAAAGCCATTCGTAAGTCTATTTTCTAATGAAATAACTCTTTATTTGCTTTTTTGCTCAAATGATTACCAACTGTTTAATGGTTTGATTATTTACCAAATTATTTAATTTGATTGTTATTTTGCACGTGATTTCTGTTGCTATGTTAGGAAATGAGTTATGTGCGGCCTTTCGGTAATAAGGTTTGTCTTACTCTCCATTTGGTTGCTATTAATGCATGAATTGATTGGTTTAATGCTATGAAAGCGCTAACTGTGTTGTCAATGTGTTGCAGATGCTGTCCCATAGCGGTGCCATTCAGCCCAAGTCACCGATACTGCCGGCGACGTCCATGTCGTCAGCACTTATGAACTCTCAATTCAAGACCTCTTTCAGTGGCGGTCCAAATACGGCTCAATTGATCCAAACGCCTCAGAATCTGTTAACAAACCAACAGATATTGAGTGCTTTTCAGATGCCACAGGGACTCACGTGGACTACTAGTCCTCAATCCACACATTTGGTCGCTCAAAACGGTTCGCCGATATTTATTCGCGGCCCGACTCCCGGCGGCGAACATATGTTTATATCGACATCCAATATGTCGAATATGTCTAATCCTCAAATCCAAACCGTTTCAATGGCCGCACCTCTCAATGTCCACAACACAAGCGCTTCTATGGCTGTGAACGTAACCCACAACCAGTCGACGCCCACACAAATGACACCCACTTTCCAACAAATGGCGACCACTGCTAACGTGAACACTACGACCACCACATCGATGGTCACTACCAGCCAACCCACTGCCATAGCCCCCGCACCCACTCCTCCCACTCTTCCCAAAGTACGAAACATAAGACACGCGAGCAGTTCTGTGGCCACACAGACCATCACTCCAGCCATTGCTCAGAAACAACACGCCGAGAGTTCGACCACTCCTCTCAAGCCTATAGCTCCGGCCAAACCGAAACCAAGTCCTCAATTGTTATCACAAAACACTAAACCCGTGAACAAAGACTCGAACACAACAACAATGATGCGGTCGACAGGTGTTGGCAGCACTCAAACCATTAGTCAACCAACTCTTCAGTCAACCAAAAGCGATGCCGGAAATCAAACGACTCGCGTATCGGTGGCCACAGAGACGCCCAAAACCAATAGTCAGAGTCAAGTGTCTTCAAGTCGTCACGTGAATGACCACAACAAACAGTTGATATCCAAAAGCAATACCAGTACTAATACTGGCTCTGAATCGACTCAAACGAAAGTCCACTCCGTATCCGAAGAGGTAAAGACACCCACAAAGAGACCTATTGTTGAGAAGAGAGACGCTTCCACTGGCGAAGACACTGATGTGATGAATAACATGTACTCTCAACAGAATCATAAATCATTGCAAAATTCTGTTCAGTTGGCGACCAATGGGTCTAATGGGCAGCAAAACAGTCCACAAGTGTTGTCTGATTTGAACCGTCAGGACATATCTAAACAACCGCCACAAAAGGCAACAATTATGGTAAAGCCACAGGTGATGACTCATGTAATCGATGGCTATATAATACAAGAGAGTCCGCTTCCTTTCCCAGTCAATGGACTGTCTTATAGTTCAGAGCAGAAACTCGTTAATAATGAGCACAAGAATAATACCATTATTCCTATGGAAATCAATAAAACGAAAAATAAAAACGAAAATTCAGTGAATACAAGTACTTCGTCGACAATAACGCCCCGCAATCGGTCCACTTCTGACCGCCATTGTCTCAATTGTGGACAAAAACGAAAGTCTAATTCAAAAAATCGAAATTTTAAGAAGTTTTGCAGTCAATCGTGTTCTGAGAAATACAGCGCCAATAATGATAAGAACTTGACATCAAGTCCTCGTCTTTCGCTGTATAATTCAGTAACGGCTCAACTCGACGGCTCTGAGCCTCAAAAGAACCACGATTTAGGTGTGGAATTGTCTGCCATCGACACCGAAAAGCCAACACTCGATGAAAGGAAAAAGAGATCTTTGAAACGATCCCAAGAAGTGGCCAATGATTTTGTGAGTTTCCTAATAATGTTTGAATGTATGGTTTAATTGATTGTTTTACTCAATGTTTTAACAGAATTCACATAGAAATGGAGATATGAATGACTCGATTGATCGAAATCATCGCAAATCCATACCAAACACACCGATTGAAATCCCATCGGTTAATGTCATACCAACTATGAGTATCGTCGATGAAGTGGCCGTCGGTGTGTCGAGCGCTACGGCCGGTCTCTATATACCTCCCGGGGGTAGAAATCCACTTCAATGGAGTGTAAGCCTTAGAATATGTTAGAAATGATTGAATTAATTTTAACACGTGTTTTATGAAAACAATAGGTGAACGATGTCTACGAGTTTGTTCGCAATCTTCAGGGATGTACTGAATATGCGGATGAATTCCGGTCGCAAGAGATCGACGGACAGGCGCTTATGCTTATTAAAGAAGACCATTTGATGAACACAATGAGCATGAAATTAGGTCCCGCTCTCAAGATTTGCAGCAAAATCAATGCATTGCGTGAAGACGTTCAGAAGCAGAGCTAAAACCATCACTAATTTAAACATTTATTCATATGAATTCATTCACCGAATAAATAATGGCATGAAATAAGCAGTTATTATTTTATTTAAATTTTAATTCAATATAATGTAATAGACTTAAGAGTTTATGACAAGAATTGTATTATTTATTTATAATCACTTAATATTGAAATTTAAACTCTCATCGAAGAGCAAAGGGCTTCCTTTCCCTTAACAATCACTTCATTTAATTCATTTTGAAATCAATTTTGCAAACAATTTCATCAAATCTCATCAATTTCTCTATCATTCAATGTATTGTCAACTTTATATTTAGCTCACAATTCATATAAAATTAATGCTTTTTCATTATTATATTTATAATTTATAATTCATTTGTAATATTTTTCATAAGACAGGCATTTCTTAAGTGCTGAACAAATAAAAATTATTTTGAATTTCAATTCAAATTTTTTATTTAAATATATGATTAAATTCTTTATTACTGTATAAAAAAATATTAATTTTAGAAAATGTTAAAAGTGTAGGAAAAGGCGAACACAACCAGACAATGGCCCAAACGAGAGAGAGAGGGTTTATGTTTTTCCTATGATGTGCTTATAATTTAAGATAAATTAATAAATAAAAACATGTGAAATTGTGTTTACAGTTGAGTCAATGATACAAAAAAATATGATAAAAATATTTAATTAAATTAGTTTTTTGTGAGAAATGATAAATAAAAGGCACAAAAAGTTGACAGAATTTAAAATAATAATATAGTTTATGTTTTACTTTATTACTTTTTTAATTTAACGCTTTTTTGAACCCCATATTAACAGAATAGTGAATTATTATATAATATAAATATTTGAGATGACTTAAAAAA